AATTCAAGAAAGAAAGTCTCAGGATGGGTCAACCTGTATTTCTGGATACAAATCAATGAAATGACAGTTTCTGTCCCATAAGGTCCTTAAGGTCAGGATTTGACCTCAGGCCTAGTTCACTACACAGCACTTTTTTACATTTCTACAAAGCTAATCTGAATCTGTAAAGACTAATCAGAGCTTTATCACATCCATACACTGATTGGACACACATCAGAGGCTATGAGGGTTCAGTGTCTTGCCCAGAGACACTTCAGCATGTGACTGCTGTGGAATCGAACCCCCAACTCTCCCACTGGAGGACGACTGCTCTAACCACTCAGCCACAGCTGCTCCAAAATGTGTTCTTCCTTTTTAAAACAACTCTTGTAAATTTAAAAGCAATTCATGCAAACATTACTTTATGAACCTCTACACTGCTGTCAGTTTTGCATTCTAGTCATTTTGACTGAAATATTATGGTATTCCCCCAAGAAGTGCTCGAAGTTGCACAGGAAGTGCTACAGTTTTTGCTGCTGCTCTTTGTATTTGCAAGTCACCTTGAAATTCCATCAAAAAAAAAAAAAAAAGTGTATTGCAAAATTGACAACAGTGTAAAAGTAGGTATAATAGCATTCACACGAACCTATGAAATTTCTGCAGCTTGGAGTTGTTTAAAGATGGCAGCGACCAGCTTTGTTTCATGGCTGTGGTCAGACTAACGTCTAGCTCATCAGTCCTATTAGTCTTCAACTCTAACTCTCCAAACCTCTTACCTGAGCTGATCTTCAGCTCATCTACAGCAGGTGAGATATTCATTTTTCATTTAATATATGGGGCGGCTGTGGCTGAGTGGTTAGAACAGTCGTCCTCCAATGCAAGTGTTGGGGGTTCGAATCCACCAGCAGTCACATGCCGAAGTGTCCATTGGCAAGACAATGAACCCCTCATTGCCTCGGATGTGTGTCCCATCAGTGTCTGAACATGATCTAAAGCTCTGATTAGTCTCTTTAGAATGATTTGTTCAGTTATTTTTTGTACAGATCTAGTATAGAGCTGTATAAATGGGTAAAGGAGGCACAGATTGTTGTAAAGAGCTTTGAGAGTCTTGATCAGATAGAAAGGTGCTATATAAGTACAGGCCATATAATTTGAACAGAGCACAAAGATCTTAAACCCCTTATATAGTATGTACATGTAGATACTAAATGTCTTGTTTCCTTTTGGACCAGTGATGTACATGGAACTGCCAGCACCAAAGGTAACATTCCTCTTCAAGACCAGCACCTTGCTCTGGCCATCCTGCTGGAACTGGCTGTCCAGAGGGGCACTCTGAGGTAATGCCATCTCCAGTATTCTGTTCATTTGCACGTTTCTTATTTTCAAATTTTCCTTTATTTAAACAGCTGCTGTTTCTCTTACTGTGGCTTATGTTTATGTCCTTCTAGTCAGCTGCTTTCAGCTGTTCTGTTACTGTTGCGTCTGTGGGATAACAGCGCCAGAGAGATGGACAACGAACGCTCCTCACAGGGGACCAGTGCTCCTCTTCTGCCCCTCCTGCAGCGTTTTCAAAACATACACTGCAGCAAGGAGGAGACTGTTTTGGAAGAAGATGCTGAGGTAAAAAAAAAAAAAAATCTAAAAGAAAGAAACATTACCACTTCAAATTAGAAATAGGATGGACTATCTTAATTTAAAAGCCAGCACAGTGAATCTTAAGTTTACCTTGACTTTTAGTTCACTACAAAACCTTTATGAGCTCAATAAATAACATGTTTTGATGCATTGTCTTTATTTATTCTGTTATATTCACCACACAAGTCAAATTCAACACATTCTAAAAGATTGGGTAATAAAGCTTCTATTTCGTATAGGCTTTGCCCTTTAAGGCTGTCGCTGGTTGGTTTTATCCCGTCATGCAAAGCATCGCACTGAAAAACCCCACCAGCGACAGCCTTAAAGGGCTAGCCTATACTCATAGAATGTGGGGTTACAGTACGCAACCAACGATCTGTGGACGGATGACCCTGAAGGACTTCTTCATCATTTTTGAAGGCATCATCTATTGCTTTAAAATCTTAATTTATTTTCTATGTTAATGCTTCCTCCACAAAAACATAAATGAGAAGAACATCGATTCAACCTGGTACAGTCACATATGATAACAGTCTGGAGGGTCTTTTATGTCTTTCGACTAAAAAACATGGTATTGATTTTTAATTTTAATTTTTTTTTTGCACAGTATTGTTTTATCCTGATGCATGCTCAATAATCCATGTAGAAAAATCTTAAAGTGAAGTCAGGTCCTCTGGACGTTCATAAAACAAACAATAAAGTAGAAACAAAATTTTGTTTTCTCAGTCATCCAGGTATATAACAACAAAAAGTGGCTTCTGGGTAATACCAGATGGCTAGGCCTCAGACTGACGAAGCCTCTTGGACGAGGGGCGAAACGTTTCTTTTTTAACAAAAAAAACGAAGTCCAGATGACATGATTCAACCTTTTTTGTTATTAATAAAGTAGAAACGTTTCGTCTCTCATCCGAGAGACTTCTTCAGTCTGAGGTGCTGTATTCAGCTCTGTTTTATAAATAGCACCTTCTCAGAGTGGATCAACCAGTTTGCTGATGACAACCAAAACCAGCTGATCACATGACAGCATCCCCACTAGCTCAGGAGCCAGGCAGAAGGAGAAACCCCACACAAGACAGGCTCTAGAGCAATGTGGATATCCTAACTGGGCCTTCCTGAAAGCAGAGAAGAAACCCAAACAGGACTCCAGTCAGCCATCACTGGAGACGTTTATTTTCTAAACATAACGTCCCAGTGGCTTTTAAACCCCAAAATACATTAAAGACTGGTTCATCCCAAAGATCCAGTCCCCCGGCACAAACAGAGTAATGTTGTGTATGTTGTTCAGTGTCAGGAGGGTGATCAGTCTTACATCGGGGAAACTAACCAGCCACTGGCCAAAAGGATGGACCAGCACAGAAGATCAACATCATCAGGCCAGGACTCTGAGGTCTACACTCATTTCCAGGCCAGCGGTCACTCTTTCAGGGATGAAGATGTTCACATCCTGGACAGAGAGGAGTAAAGGAGGCCATCTTTGTGAAAAGAAACCGTCCATCATTAAACAGGGGTGGAGCCTCCAGGTTCAACTGTCCCCCTCTTACAATGCTGTGATTGCTAGTATCACTCAGCCCTCTGTGAATTCGAGGATGACACAGGAGTGGATTTTCACTCCTGTCCTGTCCCACTCCTGGTAACACGACTCCTGCTCCTGTTTTTCATTTAATTTTTAGGAAATACATTGAATTTGATTTGATCTTCTACCCATTCCTGTTTAAATTACTTTGTGTTCTGCAGGTTTATTTCAAAGGATATGTCAACAGGAACAGTTCATCTGTGGTGAAATAGAGACATTTATTGTCTTAATCCAAACAAAAACCTTCACTAAATGTCATAAAACAATAATCCATGGTCTGTAGTCCCTATAATGTTTCTACAGAGGATCAGCTGCCGAGTCTGTTTCTGGCTCTTTTCAAGGTCAGTTCCAGTAAAAACAAAAAATCTAAACCAGTCCATGGGTCACACCATGTCTACCTTAGATGAAAGAACCCAAACACAACAAGTTGCATTTTACTAATTTATTGAGCAGTTGTTTCCTTTAAACAGTGACATCACTGTCATGTTTTAAATTGTTTAAACAAACAAAAAGAAAAATAATGTACCAAGCAGAGAACTCAACAAATAAAAAAGTTTAAATTATTATCCACTGGACGACGTCCTCCAGAAGTTCAGTCTGTGTGGTCGAGGTAACGAGCTCGTTTGGGTGAAGCATGATGTCGTGCATCTTCCCAGACTTCAGAGCATCATTTACAGACTGGACCATTGCAGGTCTGGTGTTCCACCTCATCTCTCCACAGCTGGACCAGTCCAGAGCCTTGTGGAACCTGAAAGTGACAGAAGACGTGCACGAGTCAAAATAGTGTCACAGTGACTACAAGTTACAATCTGTTGGCCTTTCTTTTGGAAAAATATTTTATCAAAAACAAGAGATTTACTATTGAAATTAAGTCAAGAAAATGTGACATTTGTAATTATAAATTACAGAAGCTCAATGTTTCTTTATTTCACTTGTCATATTTTATAATTATTTAATGAGCCTCACAGGCAGAGTTACAAGATGTTATGTCTCTTACCTGCTCTGTTGAAGTGTGTGACAAGGGTCTTTGTGTCCAAAGCTGTTTAACAGCTTGCTTCCAGAGCTAACAGCTTCCTGTGTTAGGTAGAAAAATTAAATTAAAGACAAACAAAAAGCTTAGTGCTACTTCTTGTGCCATGCTTTATAAACAGTTATTGAATCAAGGATTTACTTATGTAGGTAAACATAGATGTTTTAAAACCTGTTAAAATACACCAGAATGCAGGAAATAGCAGCTACTTTATTCAAAAAGTTATGGGGGAGGACCCACAGACCTCACACCAATATGTCCCCCCCCACAATAATTCTAATGATAATACATGCTCCGTGGTTCAAGCCAAGAGCCATTGTCAACACTGGGGGGCTAAGGCCCCTAAAAAGGGCTTCTAGAATCGCCCCGGTGTGAAGAAATGAACTGAGAAAAATCAACTCTAAAATTTAACACAACATAATTGTACACATCATATCTTAAATATAAAACTAAAACAGTTATTATAATGTATATGCAACCAGTCTTTCATATAAAAACTGGGATATTTTTACCGGAGAATACTTTCACTAACGAGTTTGTTGTTGTACTGACATGGCTTGCTGTCGACAGTAACTATTTACACAATAAAGTGAAGGTTATTCACGTTTTCCTCCATTTCAGTATCTAGCAGGACGTCACAATGTAAAAATAGGGATATTTTTACCGGAGAATGCGTGCACTTTAACCAGGAAGAGTTTGGGTTTTTTACATTACAAACAGCAACAGATAATGAGGATTTTAACCTAAACATAACAAAGCAGAGCATCATTTTTAAATTAAAAGGAACAAGGTGGAGAACAATGTGCTGTTTGAGTTTATTTACTGACGGTAAACAAAGTCCGACTCCCCGCAGCTCCTCACAGCTGAGACTTAAGTTTAAATCAGCACAGCACCAACACAACTCTTATGAAGTTCAGATTATTTGACACTTTCCTGCTCGTTCTGCGACTTTAATAGACAGACAGTTACTTCTTACCTTGTGTTGCAAACTATTTCAGTTACTCGGTTTCTTTGCTAGAGACTTCGCTGCTCGGTGAAAAGCTACGGCTGGAACAGTTGACTTCTGGGCAATGTAGTTCTTTTGACTGTGTTAAAGTGAAGTCTCACTGAAAGAAAACTACAAAATAGCTGCGCCCGTGGTGTTTTTTTGGTTTCATTTTCATTTTTGGTTATTGGTCGGTTGCCGCTCCTGTCTGCTCCCGTTAGCTTTCAGTCCAATCACGTCCCGGTCACGTGAGTTATAATGAGGTTGACTCCGGTCCCGCCAGAATCACGTGACCCGCGGTACTCCCGAAAAAATGTCATCCTCTACTGTGGATAGTAAACAGCCATCAGGTGCTAATGATCCATTGTTAGGCTGATGGTCCTTCTTGAGCATGTGATCAGCTGGTTCTGGTTGTCAGCAGCAAACTGGTTGATCCACTCTGAGAAGGTGCTATTTAAGAGACTGAACTGAATACAGCTCCTCAGACTGAGGAAGTCTTGCAGATGAGAGACGAAACGTTTCTACAGTTTTGTTTTGTTTTGTGAACCCGTCCAGAGGACCTGACTTAACTTTTAGAGATTCTTATGTTTTAATCTTCAAAAATATGAAGCTGCTACATACAGCATGTTTCCATGTACATTCTAATTTAAAAAATATATATTTTCACACATTTTTGTAGCACATCTACACACTGTGTTGTCCAATTTTTACGTTTTTTTTAGTTTTTTAAATATACAATCTCTAATATCATTTGATGGTTCATCCCAGGTAATACTGAGCCTGGAGAAGTTGACTCTGTTTCTGGACAAGTCTGACAAAAACAGTTGATGGATCAAAAATATCAAATGAATGTTTTTTTGACTTTCTGACTCCTATTTAATACTTTAATTTCCAAGGTAACAAATGCTTTGATTGAATTTTTTAGATCGTCACTTCTCCCCTCAGTCCTGTTGAGAGTTTTCTGCGCTATTTGACGTTGCCTCAGGACAACGACCTGGCCATTGACCTTCAACAAACGGCTGTGGTGATCATGGCTCACCTGGACCGCTTAGCTTCTCCCTACAGTCCACCGCACTGTAACTCCCCGTCCTCACACAAGGTGATGACCAGTATTTTGGTCATGTTTAACAGTCTTTTTTTTAATATAGCTACAGTAATACTTAAAGGCTAAATGTTAGTTGAGTTTAAAGTTATTTAAAATATTTAAATTGTTACCCCGACACTCAACACAGTGTTTTATGAGTTATACTGGAAGTTGATTTGCTAAACAGAAAAATGTCTACTGGAAAGACTGCTCTTTTATTCCAGGGGACCTTACAGGAAGTGATGGCGTGGGGCCTTTTAGGTTGGAAACTCTATGCCAACGTCAATGGACCCATTCAGTGTAAAGCCCTGTCGAGCCTTGGGATCACGCAAATCGTTTGTTCTGAAAAAGGCTTTCTCATCCTATCCAGCAGCGGTGCTGTTTACACTCAGAACTACAAGAGCACAGCCCTGGTTAGTTCAGTCGCTCAGATATTTTCTGTTTATTGATAAAGTCCCTTTTGAAAAACCAGCAAGTAATTAGTACTTGCTGGTTTGCTTCAGCTCCACATACAGTAACTGAGTTTTATGTTCAACAGGCTCCTATGCTTGTTTACGGTCTGAGCTCCAGAAAGATTCTGAAGCTTGCGGCTCATCCTGATGGGCAGCACTACCTGGCCCTGTCATCCAATGGGGAAGTGTTCTCATGGGGCTGTGGTGACGGGGGCCGCCTTGGACATGGAGACACCAGGTAAGCAAGGAGAGGAAACTGAGCATGGCTTGCTTTTAAATTTTCACAAGGTTTTATTTACAACTCGTCATATAATGAAAATCTTTGACTTTTTTTTTTTTCAACAAAAGTATTTTTATTAGTTTTTTCATTTTTGAACATAAAACTTAAAACAATAAAACCATCTCCTCCCACCCCCACCCCTTCCCTCCAACACCAGATCAGTCAAAACTACACATTATACAGGCACCGACATGCTCTCAACAAACAATATAAATGGCCGCCAGGTGTCCCAGAATCTCTGCACAGAGCCTTTTAAGGTGTGTCTCTTCTCCAAATGAACAGGACGCATCACCTCTCTTAACCAATGTACATACAATGGGGGATGTGGGTCCTTCCAGTTACTCAATATTAGCCCCCTATCCAGAATAGAGCCAAAGGCAGTCACATCCTTCTCACATTTGCTGAAGGATGTGTCCACCTGGACCACCCTGAACAGTGAGATGAGTGGTGATGGAAGTACGGTCTTACCACATATTCCAGAGAAGGTGTCAAATATAGATCGCCAAAAAGTCTGCAGATTTGGACAGGTCCAGAATGTATGCAGGACTGTAGCTAGAGTTTGTTTGCAACAGTTGCATGCAGGGTCCAGGTCTACTTTAATCTTGTGCCCCTTTTCTACTGTTAGGGTGCGGATCAGGTCAGTTTGGGTCGGTTCAGATCAGCTCGTGTCTCGTTGTGTTTCCATGTACACTTCTGGACCGGCTCTGTAGGCGGGGACTAGAATCCAACTGGTCTTACCACCTGGTGGCGGTAGTGCTCCCTTAAGCTACTTACTAGCCACCACTAAACGTATTAGAAGAAGAACACCCTGAAGGTTTTGTCACACGATGTTGTGGAAGAGACGTCATGCTCTGATGGAGCTGTAACTTATAAACCTGATTCATAATCCTACCTTACTGCCTTCCTGCTGCTTTAAATCCATGTGTTTTTCATTTTAGTATAGATTTTTACAATAAAGATGTATTAAAAATATCTTCACTTTTATTATTTACAGATATGCACAAGGTTCATGTTAAAATTACAAAACATCACACTGTGCTGTAATCTTTGAAACTGCTTTTACAATAAGACTTGAAAACAATTAGATTAAATTTTGTCCTTAAATTTTAAAGGTTTGTCTTTCATTACATTTAAAAACATAAATTTATTACTTATTAATCTAAAAAAGTTAAGTCTGGTCCTCTGGGCATTCAAAAAAACAAAACAAACAAACAAAAAACATTTATTGTTTATTTATTATAAACTGTATTGTTTGTTTTGTGAATGTCCAGAGGACCAGATTTAACTTTTTAGATTTTTCTACCTGGATTATTGAGCAGCATCAGGATATTAATTAATAAATAGTTGGTCTGTGAACACCATGGGGTCCTAGAAGAGTTGAAGAGGAGGCTGTTGATGTCTGTGCCTCCCTGGTGAAGATGCTGCTCCCACAACCCTGAAGCATGATGGATGGATGGATGGATGGATGGATGGATGGATGGATGATGAAGAAGAAGCCCGTCAAACACAGCAGGAGTGGTCAGTTCAGGTGAACTCCTGCCTGTTTGCTTCAGATCAGCTGTTCAAATCTCTGCAGGTTCAAATAAAAGGTGCACCAGGACTTTCAGCTGAATCTCTCAGGGGTCACAGTTGTACGGACGATAACTGATAACTGATAAATGATAACTGATAACTGATAACTGATAAATGATAATTGATAACTGATAACTGATAACTGATAAATGATAACTGATAACTGATAACTGATAAATGATAATTGATAACTGATAACTGATAACTGATAA